GAAAATCTAGGATCATGTTGTAACCAACAAAAATTAAATATTTAAAAATATTTTATTTTCCTTTTTATTTGTTTTCACGTTTTTAATTTTTTTTTTTAAAAAATTTTCTTTTCTTCTTCTCCTTCACGACAATTTGACGATCGTTGTTGCACAACTACATTTTTTTTTTGGTTATTCAATTATGGTGAATATCTATGTCTCATGTGGTATATAGAGATAGGTTTTGAATAAGGATTGGGTTTTTGCCGACGATGAAGAAAAAAAAGGTCGATTAGTAACTTTGGAATCAAGCACGAAAACTGGCTTTTTAATGAAGAACAAGATCCTAAAATTGAATAAAAAAATACTTCTATAAAGGGAACCCATAACAACAACAACAACCGCGAAGCTAATTAAAAGAATCAGTAGTAGATAGGAATCATATGATGAACAAGAAACTAAGGATCTGACTGGTTTAAAGGCAGCGGTTGCGGTTGCGTGTGCGGAAGTTTGCAGAAGTGGGCGATTGCGGTTTTAAGCGTTATTAAGTAGTTTGCACGACTGGTTTAACTGTTTTTACGAGACATTTTTGACTGGCGAACCAGCGGATATTTAGCGGTTTAAAATAAAATTACCAAAATAAACATAATATATAATTATAAAAAACACAAAAACTATATTATTATGCTAAATATCAAAATCATTAGTTTAAAATAATTAATAATAATAATAAATTATAAAGAAATACTAAATAATTATTCAAAAAACTAAAAAAAAATTATAATGATATATTTTATTTTAGTTGTTGGGAACATCACCCAAAATTATGTCTAGTAATATAGCAATTTGGAAAAAATTTGCTCCAATATGTGGATCTTCTGGATTGTTTTTATGCATAATGTAAATCTTCTTCAATAGATCTAATCGACTTTTTGTATGACCTTAACTCAAATCAACCTATTTGACAGAAAAAGTGATAGATTAGGGTTTACATATATATATATATATATAAGAGGATTAGTAGGATTTGGATTTTATAATTGTTTTTAATCGTGATTCTTCTTTTTTTTTTTAGCATAATTTTTTTCTATTCAACCGCTACCGCCCGCAACCGCAAACGCTGGTGGGAAGCAGCTTTTGGATTTCAGCGGTACAAAATGATACATAACGTTTTGAAGCGATTTTCATGATTGTTATAAAACACCATTAACCGCTACCAACCGCAAACGTAATAATAGCGGGTAAACCAATCAACACACCTAAGTCGATTCTAGCATAATTCAAAGATGAATCTTCATTGGACGATGAAGTTATAAGTTTAGAAGTATATTCTGTAGATTACAAATTCTGCAGATAGTAAGTAGATTCTGTAAATCCCATCTGGTAGGATTCAATTATGAAAATTTAGTTCTAAAGAAACAAGGTCCCAGTGGAAATCAAGACAAAAAAACAGGGAAGACAAATCCAATGTAGCCTTTATCCTGTTAAACAAGGATTCTCGTTCACTGCACTTCTATACAAGCAAGAAAACGTGGCGCCATCAAGGCACAATATACACAAATATCACCTTTTTCTTCTTTATTCTCTCTGCTTATCGCCGGATATAGCTCAGACTGTAACAAAATTACCTAAAATCAATTTAGGATTTTAAACCCTAATATACAGATTGAATGAAAGGGAGATTGAATAGATTGAAGAGTCTACCAATTTGATGAGAAGAGTGATGGCAATCGACGATGGCCTGGAAAGTCGATGGAGAATGAACGAAGAAAACGATATCGGAGAAGATGATGAATTATTATTATCGACTTCAAATGTTTTTTTTTCCGTAAATGTATTGTTTTATTATATAGTTTCTATTTTTCATTAGTAATAATTAAAAAAAAATTATCAATATGAAAAAAATAAATTTTTAAGGGTAAAAGAAGATTACAATTAAGATAAGTATTAAAGGGACAATTTTTTTTAAAAAAGTATTAAAAGGACAAGTACCTCTAATTTGTGTCTTAAATTTCTAATTTTCTCTAAATATAATTTCTTCAATTATACTAATGTTAATCCACGAATATAATTGAAGTATTAATGTCAAGACAGACAGTGTCAAGGCAATTGTCAAACAGAAGGGTATATATATATTTTTTTTTTCCTTCTGAGTTATGTAAAAGAATTCTGTAAACTTGTGTTGTTGTAAAAGGAAAACTCCAATTAGGGATAATGTTATATCAGTTCTTAATTTTGCATTTTTCTTAATTGTTAAATAGTATTAAGCTTGGTAAAAGATATGTGACGTTCGCTCTACCAAAGCTTTCTGTGAGCTGCATGTTGATAATGAAGAAAGGGGTATGAACACGAAAATTTGAAAACAGAGGTTGCCGAAAGATTAGAAAGAACTATACACTGTGATCTGTTGAGTAAAAGAGGAAAGGAAACTTACCTAGTCAATAAACAAAAAGGAAATTAAGTAAACGAAAAGGAAACTAGCAAAACAACCGTTGAAAAAGAGACTAATTCAGATTACAATGTAAGATTTTTTTTACACGGAGAGATTACGGACCAATCAATCAATAAACCCTAAACTTTAACATATTTCTACGAATCGATGAACTGATAAAGAACAGGGTATTGAACAAGAGAAAACAATTAGGCCTTGATGCTAGCCCTAGGCATGACTTCAGCTCCCAAGAAAGCAATGCCTCAACAATGTCAAAGCGTCTTTTCTATCATGTGGGTCAGGCGAGAAGCAAGTCATGAGAAAGAGCTTTGCATCAATAGGAAGATTTCTCGGAATCAGTGGCTCGTAACACTTCTTGAGATCCTTCAAGTCATAGTTTGTATGCCACCAAGGTTTCTTTCCAGTGTACATCTCCAACACAACACATCCCAACGACCACAGATCGAGCCCTTTCCCTGTCTCGCCGTGAGAAACCGATTCCGGCGACATATAGATCGGTGTTCCGGCATACCGACGGCGAGGCCACCAGCTATTGTCGCCATCTCTTCTCGACAATCCGAAATCAGAAATCTTCAACTCGTAAGAGGTTCTCCGGCAGCCGTTCTTGCTGACACAGCTCGGAAAAACGAGGATGTTGTCTGGTTTGAGATCGCAGTGGACATAGCCGTGTCCGTGGATCGTGGCTAAACCTTCGAGAAGCATAAGAGTAAACTTCCTGATGATATAATCAGGCAACTTGTTGTCTTTAAAGCTCTTCATGAAACTCTTCAAGCTTCCTCCAGCTGCGTACTCCATTGCGATCGTGTACTCTGAGTCACGTGCGTAGTTGACGAACATCTCTTCGTGCACACTGTCCCAATAGCACTGGACGATTCTCGAACATCCTTTGAATTCAGACAGGATTTTAAACTCTCTGAAGAGAGCCTCGGCGTGATCATCGTCGGAGGTTTTCAGGGCGGTGAAAACTGTCTTCCCGTCGCGTTCTCCTCTGAATAAACTCACGGAACCATAAGAACCTTTACCGAGAAACTTTTCGAAGTACATAGCCATCGCAATAGGTCAACAATCTGATTCTTCTGATAACCCTAGACACCAAGCTTTTTACGACGAATGTGTCAAGTCTCAAAGAACAAATATATATATACTGTCATGTTTTCCTTTTTTCCTTTTTAACGAGAAGTTCAGATATGGAAGAAAAAGGAAAAAATCAAATTAGTACCGTTGTGGATTTTATTGTGTGCGCCTCTCGTTAATTTTTATCAAATAAGTCACATTAGAATATTTCAAGATTTATTTAATATTATATAGTATATAAGAATCAACTGTACATAACAGAGAGATGTAATCTGAAAATTGTAATAACTCAAGTTGAACCCAATGAAAAGTACAAATCTGAAAAAAAAAAATCTAAAAATTGATTTACTGATCAATATTCTATAGTTTTTTATATTTAATTTATTTGCTTTAACTCCACTCGAAACCTGTTTTCCGTTTGGAAAAGGAAACTCTCGCAGTAGAAACGCGATTTGATCAGCAAATGAATATCACAGTGGAATATATGGAAAACTTGGCCAGTATACATCACTAAATCGAGATATAGATGAAATAAACATGTAAAAAAAGGAGAAACAGTCAATTCAAAAAAAATGAATGGCTTGATTATCACTTCACCAAAGTTTTCTTTTTAATGCGCTCGTAGTTGAAAATAGACGCCGTTAAGGATGATGAACAATTAATACTTTTGAAAAACCTTAGATATCATACGCAAAATGTTCACTTTACAAATTTATCGGATTTACGAAAAAAAAAAATCCGATGAAACCAAAGGATGGAGAATGATTACATAGAGGATTAAACACTTGTTATTATCAAAGAGCTCACGTAATTAAGAATTATGGTTAATGGCCACATAAGACCGATCGTGAAAACGATCATTTGTTTTGTGCAATGAGAGTAGCTTTTTTATTTGTTTCCTTAGTCTCCACTTGCATTTTCTTATTCCTTCGTGCAACTCAAAATACGTTACAACTCAAAAGACTGGAACCTATAGGATGGCCATGATTTCGGCCTAAACGGAACCTATAATATCCAAGGCTTGAAAAGCAAAAGCTAAGTTTTCAAACAAACATCCGATGAATCAATATGCTTTTCCACATCACAAACTAAGTTTTAAACTTGGCTTCAATCATGCTACCAATGCGTGAAAAAGCTCCACTACTATGCAATAATACATTTATAGCCATGAGAATCTCTTAGAACTCGAGCATCTCCAATGAAAAGCTTATATTGCACTTGAACTATTCATCGTACGGAGGTTCCCATATGGACATATGGCCCATATCCTCGTTACCTTTTGAACTTGATAAACAACATTATTCAATATAATATTTTGCTCAAATAGTTATTAGTATTACACATACGTATTTGGCTGAAAATATTAATATCCTAATTAAAATATGTTCCTAGAAAGTGATAAAATAATTGAATAGAGAAGGATTTTTCACTACAGCTTAACCTCACAAACAAAGAAAGAAAGCACACACCCATTTACGCCAAAAAAAAAAATTAAGAGCTCAGTCAGGCAATAACATCCGAGAAGTCAGAATATTGCGAAGGACCCAACCTTCGCTAAAGCCAATATCTTCACAGCCCACAACAATATTGCACCAGCCGGGAATCGAACCCGGGTCTGTACCGTGGCAGGGTACTATTCTACCACTAGACCACTGGTGCTGATTGCTTAGAGTCTGCGCTTTTTTTATTTATACATAATCTGTGTAGCCTCACAAAGTCGCAACCACAAGAAGGAAACAGAGGAGAGGGATGTAGAGAGATAGAGAGAGAGACGTTCGTTGCAGACAATGGCGATTCCGATGACGAGAATGATGGTTCCTCAGGCAAGCTCTTCGCTTCGTCTTTCCCATCCAAACGTATCAAACTCCAGTCGCGTTGATTTCCTCTGTCGCTGTGCTCCATCAGAACTCCAACCACTTCGGTCTGCTCATTCCCTCTCTCTTCGGTCTGAAGTTACTTTTGTCGAAATTGAGAAATCATTTGTCAATATTTTGCAATTTCCTCAGGCCTGGACTCTCTTTGTCTGCCGGAATTCACGCTATACCGCATCCAGATAAGGTATATCAAGTTTTCTGTTTCTTTTCTCGATGAAATGATTAGCCCACGGAAAGAAAAGAGACTGCTTAGTGGAAGTTATGCAATTGAAAATCGAGCTTCAGTTTCGAAATTTTTAGGTAGAGAAAGGTGGGGAAGATGCTCTCTTTGTAAGTAGCTACAGAGGAGGAGTCATAGCTGTTGCAGATGGTGTTTCCGGGTAATAAACGGTTTTTAACTTCTTTGCTTCTGCTAACTTTGGTTCTCGTTCTTCAGGGTTTATCACAATTTTGGTAAAGTTTATGTCTTTTTCTCTCTCTCAGATGGGCTGAACAAGATGTTGATCCTTCCTTGTTTTCCAAAGAGCTCATGGCTAACGCTTCTCGTCTTGTTGATGACGAAGAGGTAGTATTTGAATCTCACTGGAAGTGTTAATCTATCTTTTTGAGTGGTTTAAGGTTTCTGATTTTAACTTTTTGGAGGAACAGGTTAGATATGATCCTGGTTTCCTCATTGACAAAGCTCATACCGCAACTACTTCCAGAGGTTCTGCCACAATGTGAGATTTGTGTTATTTTGTCCTAATTGTTATCTCTTCAAAGGTTTTTTTGAAACTTTTTGGATAGCTTGATGTCGCGGTTATTGGTGAAGCAGTATTGTAGCCATGCTTGAGGAAGTTGGTATTCTCAAAATAGGCAATGTTGGAGACTGTGGACTTAAGCTTCTTCGAGAAGGTGTTTTTTTTTTCTCTCGCTTACCCTTCTGTAACCTGAAATGCTAGATTCTTTCATGTTCAGCCTTTGATTATTTTCAGGTCAGATCATTTTTTCGACTACTCCACAAGAGCACTATTTTGACTGTCCCTATCAACTAAGCTCTGAAGGGTCTGCTCAAACATATCTAGATGCATCGGTAGATAAATCTGTACCACTCTACATGATATGTTTTTGTACTGTACCTCTGTAACATACTTGTTACTTCAAGCAGTTCAACATAATGGAAGTGAAGAAGGGAGACGTGATCGTGATGGGTTCAGATGGGCTTTTCGATAACGTGTTTGATCATGAGATTGTTTCGATAGTGACCAAGCATACAGATGTTGCAGAATCATGTATGTGTATAAATGAATTGTCTCTCTTGGTATATAATCTGAAGTTTAGAAGTGACATTGTTATTTGTACAACTATTACAGCGAGGTTATTAGCTGAAGTGGCGAGTAGCCATTCAAGAGATCCAGGGTTTGAGTCTCCATATGCATTGGAAGCAAGAGCCAAGGTAGATTTCAACTAAACCAAGAATTACCTTTTCCGGTTTCATGCAAAGTATTTCTGACTCCGTGTATATTGCATGCGCTTTTGACATAAACAGGGGTTTGATGTTCCTATCTGGAAGAAGGCATTAGGCATGAAGCTAACAGGTAAGAAACCATTGTTGATGCGACAACCGAACATTTTGATTAATGCAAGAAAAGAGCTGTTTATGATTTGATCTCTTGTTCTGTTAAAAAATGCAGGAGGGAAGCTTGATGATGTCACTGTGATTGTTGCCAAAGTTATTAGCTCTTGAGAGTCACTCTGTTCATGACAAAGATTCATGTGATCTTCTCATTATTCTTTTTGTACAAGTCCTTGTAGAAACTTGTCTTTTCCAATATCTTATCAAAGAAATAGATAAATGGGATTTCAAACAATCAAGAATGTCTTTGAGATTGAATCTTCATCCTTGTGAATGGACACTATTTAAAGCTCATCTATTCCTTTTAGTACTTCTCATAAAAACAAATAAAAATACAAAATTTTCTACCGTCAATGAAAATCAAAAAGAACAAAAAAAAAAAACGCTTTGGGTTGGAACTCTAACCTGACAAACATTATTACGTGAAATTGAAAACAAATAATTATACAAACAGACATCTCTCTAAAGAGCTAGTGTTAACACTAACAACCAGCTGCTCTATGAAGAATCATTTACCTGAATCAGGTAAGAAGCCGAACGCATGTTTTGTGTCTTTTCAAGCTGCGTTTGAGTCGCCGTTGAGATCTTGAAAGAATGATTTGACTGTTTCATAAGTGGACCAGCAAATCGCAGCTGCTGGAGCATGGAAGAGCATTCTTGGTAGCCATCCTCTGGCAAGTCCTCTATAACCGTCTTTCTTCACGATTGTACGAAACACATCGCTTATTGAACCGCTCTTGAAGCGATCACAACCGCACACACCCTGAATGAAACATCACCAAAGATCAAAATCCTCAAAACAGCCCAAAAAACCAGAAGCAGAAGAAACAGGGCTTGAGGCTTCTAGTAAGGTTTTGAGTGGAAACTAACAAAGTTTTGAATTGCTAATGATTCTACTCATAGAGCTGACATTTGTTTATCTAAGAGCTAAACCACACAAATTGAAACATAGCCCTTAGATTCCGTAAATTCTATGCAACAAAAGATCAAAGCCTGCCACTTTTAAACTGAGGACACTAAGAGCTCAAAGTAAATGGCTAAAGTTACAGAGCTACATAACTACCCCTGAAAGAAGAGCTAACTAGAATTTTTAAACACTAATTCATGAAATGTGCCACTTGATCAAGCTCTATAGAGACCAGACAACTAAAGAACCTAATCCAAGACGAAATTATTGAGTTTCATGATCACAAAGCTAAGACTCTATCTTTGCTTGAAGCAATCTACATTTACATATAAAGATCATAGTGTACCTATTATCACATCGTCTCTCAGAGAGACAGAATGGTTTTAGAGATTAAAGGTTTCAACTTTACCTGACATTGCAATTGCGTCTTGACAACGTCAAGCGGCGTAGTCACAGCAGCCGCCAAGCCACCAGCGGCAGCTCCTGCAGTAGCATAGATCAACCAACCTTCCTCCTCCTCCTCGCGGCCAACGTGCTCAGGCGATATCTCTCTCAATCCCCTCTTAACCGCCTCATACGTCGCGAAATGAACCGCCGTAAATGGAGCATTCATCAGCACCGTCGTTCTATAAGAGGCGTAAAACGCACCAAAACCTTCCTCTCTCGTTACCCTCTTGATACAATCCCAAACCCCTTTATAAGTCCCATTCCCAATCTGAAGCCTCTGCTTAACCATATCCATCGGAGTAAAAACGGCGTCGCTCGATACGGTGGCGAATACGCCGGATACAGCGTGCGCGGCGGAGTTATTACGGTTTCCACCGGATAAATACTTCTTCGAGACTTCGTAAAAGGAGAAGTAAACGGCGTGAGCTGGTCCTGCGCCGAGTCCCATCGCCCATATACCTCGATACAGAGCAGACGGTCCGTCAGTTTTGATTATTGATCGGAAAGCTTCCCGGATTCCGACGGGTTTAATCGGACATGAACGGAGAGCTTGCATATGGGTCTTGACGGTATCCACTGGAAACATCGCCATGTGTTCGACGGAGCCAGCAATCGAACCGGCGACCATGAGCTGCCAGAATCGAAGTCCGTTGTTCTGAGCTGGAACGACAATCGCCGGATGAAAATCCGGTGGTTGAGGGATTGGACGGAGATCGGATTCCGGGAATTTGGATGCAGTTGTGGCGGCTTCTGTCGCCATTGTTGGGAATCGAAAGAAGCCTCCTTTGGGTTTTAGGGAGGTGGGGACAGGAGGAATCTGACGGAGAAGACGTTAAATTAGGGTTCCGAGATGCTTGGAGAGCAATTCCCAAATCTGGAGATTTTTCACTCTGAAATCTCCGACCAGAGGAAGGAGGCGGCGGTTAAACTAAACTTTGGGCTTTACATTTTTTTCCCCTTAAGTATATAGTTTTAAGATCTTAATTCGTTTTGTTCCGTCTTACCAAACAACAAAGGAACCAAAAAAAAAAAATTATTTTAGGGGATTTTTATTGCATAATTACAAACTTTAAGCTTAACTTTTTAACTGTGTCACAAATTGAAACAAAACTAACAACTCACAAATTTAATCGGTTATTTTGACCAAGAATTATAACAATCTGCTAAATACTACAAAATTTTAAGGTGTAATAATCATTACATTACGGTTTTTCTTGTTCATGTGTATCAAGTCATTTCTTTTAAGTAGTTAAAATCTTTTTTTTATTTCTTATAATAGTAGTTTGATACAATTAGAGATTATAGTTTATACAATTATCTTGAAATGTGAGTTTTTTATTTGTTTAAAATGTTGAAATGTGATTAATAAATAGAAATTGGGACCGAAAAACAAAAATTCGGAATTGGGATTTCGGTTTAGATCGACTAAAAGCATACCGGGAGAAGACTCTTAGTCGAATAGAGGGTTTGTCGTTGACTTTAGTTTGAGATTTTGATCTTCTCTATTGTCACTACTTCTCTATCTTTTTCTATTGTTTCTCCTTTGTTAAAAAAAAAAAAAAACCTTTTACGTATGCTTGTGTTATTAATAATCGATTAATCATCCTTAGTAAACAAAAATACAGAAGAGAATACTAATAAAAAGGCTATGACCCAAAAAATATTAGTCGCATTTGTTTTTATTATATTCTTTGTCAACACGGAAAATAAAAGGGGGAGATACACATTTTGGAGTAAATTATGCGCCTTAGGCAGACCGCAGACAGCAACATATGTTGGGAGTAAAACATTTTCCGTAGAACAATTGGCCATATAACTTTAAACAAACGCCATTGCAGTCTAGGTATCCTTCCTTTCTACACGGTTCTTGTGCGAAGCATAATTTAGACTCTTGCTTTATTCCAAAACCTATTGAATAATAATCAATTATTTATATATATATAATGGAGACTAATATAATAAATACTAGATCAGCTAGTACCTGGAGTGTTATCGGAAGAACAAACGGTAGATATGATAAAGAAGCTAATAAAAACAAATACGAGGGTCATAGTCATTTTACCAATATTCTCTTCAGTTTTTCTCTACTACAATTTGGTTTTACTTAGGATGATTATATATATATATATATATATATATATGATAACGTAAACGGTAAACCAACGTAAAAGGTATTTTTTGGGTCAAAAGTGACAAAGGAAAAAAATATTTCAATTTATTTCCTTAGATTTCTAGTCAAAAGAATTACTTTTTAGTATTAGTAAGATGTATTTATTCTTCACACATAGTTAAACATGAATTTTGTTTCTTTCCAAATTATCATAAGAATGAGCCTAAGTTCAAACCGACTTTGACATTGCGCAAAACAATGCTATTATATTTATCTACTGCATACATGCATACATGGCTTACCTAATACGCAACGTTATGTATATACGCACTACAAGAAAACAGAGAGGTACCGACTCCATTTTGCGACGTTAAATATAGACTACGTAACGACGGAATTGCGACTAAACTACTTTCATCGTCGCAGATTGGTCGCCAATGTGCGACCAATTTATTCAGACGTAATATAGTCACAGATTTACGACTAAAGTACGACTTAAACGTAGTCATGAATTTGTAGTCGTAAAACATTCGGGAAAATGCGACTAATTTGCGACATTTGCGGCAAATCTTAAAATTAAAAACATGTGTTACATATTTCATGGTTGTTGTAACTAATTTTTGCGACTAACAGTTAGTAGTCTCAAAATCGTTGCAATTCAGACACATTTTAGTCGCAAAATTATCTATATATACAAGTTTCACAAGTTTCTTCTCTTCATTTGGATATATCATAAACAACAAATAAAAACTTCTAAAAAAAAAATTACAGAGAGAAGAAACAAGTTGTCAACAAGATGTCGGGAACTTTCAATCATAGAGAGTGGATGTATAACCGGATCGATGAAGAGACGGAGAATTTCTCGGCTGAGTTCGTAGAGGGAGTGGAGCAATTCATGAATTTTGCAAATAACCAGCCTTTAGCACAAAACAATGTCGGTAAGTTTCACTGTCCTTGTAGTGTTTGCAAAAATGACAAATTTATGCCCGAAAAAAAAAAATTTGGAATCATCTGTTTAGTAAAAGGTTCATGCCGGATTATTATATGGAGAAGAAATCGCTATGGATTATGGAACTAGTTATGCTAATACACATCATTTAAGTGGGAGTGAAGAAGATGTGGGTAATGTAGTAGAAGATAGATATGTGAGTATGGTGAATGATGCATTTCCTGGTAACTATCATCATGAGCATGATGATAACTATCAGAATGTAGATGATAGTTACCAGAATGTACAAGAACTGGTACGTAACCATCCCCAAAAATTTTACAACTTGTTAGAATCTGGGAAAAAACCATTATACAATGGTTGTCGTGAAGGTCACTTGCAGTTATCTTTAGCTGCTCTGGAAAGAGATGAATGAGTTATGGGACACTGAAGAAGCGAGAGAGAAGAGTTTGACCACATCAGCGGCTCGTTTGTCTGACCGTGATGGTCTTGGTCCTCACGTCCATCTCTCTGGCCAGAAGTCCTACCTGCAAATACAACAAGAGATGGTAAGTTACTCTTTTAGTATTCAACCATTTACATCTTTCATTTGACTATTTTGATTTTGTCATTGCAGGAAGAAGAACTGGAAAGACCCGTGAGTCTTGGTGAAGTTTTCATCAAAACTCATACAAGGCCGGATGGGACTTATGTTGATTGCAAAGCTCAGAAGGTCGTTGAAAGATATAAGGCAAATTTGGAAGCCAAGTTTGCTGACTTGTGGACAGAAAACTTCGGCACTTCTGATGGTGCATCTCGGCCAGAGCTATCCATAGAAGAGGATAATGACCTCTTTCTTCAGGTATGATCTTCTTTTTCTTTGCTTTTTGCGATTTTAGATAGTGTTTATGTGTTTGGTATTCAAATGCAATTCTTTTATGGTTTGTGTGTTTGGTATTCATATTGATAGTTTCTTTATGGTTAGTGTTTTTGTTATAGAAATGTAGTGTTGTTTTTTTCATTTTTACTGTAGTCCACTTTCACAAATGAAAGAGGCATTCTTTATGGAGTAGGAAGCCTCTCTCAGTCGCATGTCAATAGAAAACGGAAGTGCACTGGGAACACTGCAGCATTCAACACTCCAAGAACAACTCCAAGAAGCTCAATGCCAAATTACAGAGCAAGCTGCTGAAAACGCAAGGCGTGAAGCAGAGCATTCCAAATCAGCAGTTGCACAACAAGCCAAGATCAAGAAGTTGTCTTTGCTTGAGAGGTATTTGCGTGAAACAGATCCAATGTTCTTAGACTTTGTGGCTGCTCAATCTGCTCTAACCTCTGCTCCAACAGTTGCTGAAACTGGTGCTCCAACCATTGCTCCAACCAGTGCTCCAACCACTCCTATAGGTTTCTCATCTCTTTCAGCTTCATTTTGAACATCTCCTTTGTTTTTTTGCAACCATTTAGAACTTCTTACCAATGGTTGTGAACAATGTAATATCTTGTTTTGTGAATAATGTAGTAAGCTTTTATTGTTTTGTTGGAAATGGTTATTATGTTTTTATTTTGCATTGTCTAATATTTTTTGCACAACAATAGTGTTTAACGTAATTCTGTCACAAAACAGTCGCTAGCAAATTGAGGCACTAACAGTCATAGCGTAGCCGTTAATCTTTGCGACTATTTTACAATTACGCTTAACGACTTTATTACGATTACATAACAGTTACAAAAGGGTCGCAATTGTAGTCGTTATGTAGTCGTAAACAATTACGACCATTACGACTGTTCTACGTCACCAACATTTCGTCGCCACATAGTTGTAATTTTACGATTAAATTACGACTGTTATATTTAGCGACGAATAATTTACGACTACAGACAAAAGTCGTAACTCAATCGTATATGATGATTTAGCGACTGAATTCTGATTCATTTTGGTGTCGTAATTCACCTCTGTAATCTTGTAGTGTACTGAAAATTATAATATTTAGTTTTAATTAATGGATTTCGGTTTTTGTGCGGCAAAAGAGGAGAATAAAAGAAAGAAGAGGGAACTAGCAGCAAGACAGGTGAGGGCAAAACAACTCTTAACACAAAATTAACCAAAACCAACTATGGAGTTAGCTCTCAACACAAAATTAACTTTTTAATTTTTTCTCCTTTTTTCAAATATATCAGTGAATCCCTTGAAAACAAAAAATTGATGAAAATAATCATTAATTATCATGAATTGTATCTTTGAAAAAAAAATTAAAGGTGTGTGTGTGTGGAGGGGAGGGGGGGGGGGGGGAATATAGAAACCGTGGTTTATCGATGGAGGATCTGCGAGCTTGGAGTAAATAGCCGTTGCACACTTTATCATCTCTTCTGATTACTTGTTCGGAGTCATAAATATGTGGTCGGATTTCCGAGTGCCCATGTGTTCTGCAAGGCTTGCAGTATTTGATCCATTTCCTATGTATTGTTGCAATAAAGAGTAACTAAAGTTACAGACTTTGTAAACTCTGATGTCAATAATGCTTAGAGCATATATTAAGAAAATACAAATCAATAAACAAAGACCAGGAGATTGCAAATGGGAAATAAATAATAATTAATGACTTTTCTATAACAAAGACTTTAAGCAAAAATAGTTATCATAATATCAATCTTAGCTGTATTGTTGAAGTTGTAAATATCATATCATATATATGGAAGGAGGGAGAAGAAGAAGAAGAATATATATACAACCAACTCCCCAAATTGGCTCAGTAGCAACAATGAGTTCCGTTGGTGTATTTCGTGAGGAAGAAATCGATGGAAAGCCATTTCACATATATTCCGGTGAATCAGCCATTGATTCTGGTGATGATGACGACCTCCCTCCTCTTCAACCTCTTTTCTA